TCCTGGAACTGCTCCAACTGTGCCGGGGTCTTCAGCACTGAGTGTGGTGTCTCAGGAGGTTCCACTGCCGCAATGGCTGGAGCGGCCACCATGCCCCTGGGCTCAGCATCCTGACCAGTAAGGCAATCTTTTTGGGAATGGGTCACTTACAGTAAAAAGCTGGTGGGCCCATTTTCTCTCCATTCCCTGCCCATGTCTCCTCAGGAGGAGTTCAGTGATTGTCATTAGCGCCTGCTTTCAACTGTGTTTTAAGTCTGTAGCTCAAAGGGGTTTTGGTGGCCTCTGGTCAGACCAACTGCCAGATGTCTGCTTCCTGGCTGCTTTCTTCTTTTCTTTTTTTCCCTTCCTTCTCTCCCTCCCTCCTTCCTTCTTTTTCTTCTTTCTTTCTCTTTATCTTCTTTCCTCCTTTCTTTTTCTCCTTTCTTCTTTCTTTCCTTCTTCTCTTTCTTGATGTAGTCTTGCTCTGTCACCCAGGCTGAAGTGCAGTGACCCAATCTTGGTTCACTGCAACCTCTGCCTCCCGGGTTCTAGCAATTCTACTGCCTCAGCCTCCCTAGTGGCTGGGACTATAGGTGCATGCTGCCATGCCCCACTAATTTTTTGTATTTTAGTAGAGATGAGGTTTCACTGTGTTGCCCAGACTGGTCTCGAACTCCTAAGCTCAGGTAATCCACCTCCCTCGGCCTTGGCTTACAGGTGTGAGCCACTGCACCCAACACCTGGCTTTCTTGAAAGTTTTCCTCTTTCTTCCTCATGGTCTCCTCTCTCTGTACAGGGCAAGAGGCATTCCCTCCAGAGATCACCCCTCCTTCCTCCATCTTCCTCCTCCTGTCCATTTCATTCCTAGAAGGGGAGATTGGGGAATACCCCATAGGAAGTCTGAGGGCAGGAAACAAATGGAAAGAGGGCAGGAAACGAATGGAAAGAGGACAGGAGATCAGGCTTTGGTTCCCCTTAAGGACCAGAATCAGGGTGGAGTGGTAAGGAGAACTGGGGCCCAGAGGAAGGAGAGTGCCTACTGAGGACCCTTCCATGCAGAGGCATCACAGACCCAGGGATGCAGACAATAGGGCCTGAGAAAGAGGGTGAGATGCGGACGTCAGTGACGAGTCTGGAACCGACAGACATGTCCATAGGGAAGAGGCAACTGGGACTTGAACTGAAGCCCTTTTAACTCCCCACCCTCACCCCTGCTGAGATTCTGCTCCCAAGGTGATAGGAGAAAAACGCCACAGAGAGATGGGGTCTCAGAGTCAGAGACATCACAGTCGCAGGAAGAAAGATGGAAAGTCAGAGGGCAGTGGGGATCTGGGGGTCTGGAGGCACCACCTGCCTCAGTCGTTGGCCCTCTCTTTGTGCCCCAGGTCCGAAGTCCCAGAATGACTCTGTCCCGGACTGGGCCATCGTGTTGATCACTCTGACTTTGGCGGCAGCAATGATCAGCCTAATGTACGGTATCAAGGTGAGCAACGCTGCGGTCCAAATGTGTGGGTCCCCTATGCCAGTGGGGCTGGGAACCTGGTACCCTAGGACTCAGAGGAGAACAGGGCTCTGGGGAGAGGATGACAGCTTGCAGCGCTTGTTGTGGGGAGGGGGAAGGGAGCCCTGGTCTGAATGGCCAAGAGAAACACTGGCTGGGCAGGGATGGGGCGTTAGGGCCACTGAAAGAGGCGAGGGTGTGCTGGAAACTGACCTGCGCGTGGAAGCACTCACTCAGCTCTAGGCAAGGACCAGTTCCGTGGAGCCACATTCACTCGGGTTTGAATCCTTGTTCAAGATACTTGACCTCTCTGTGCTCCAGATTCTTCATTAATAATAATACTTAAATCACAATGATTGTGTGCTCGGTGCTGTACATATTTTAGTTCAACTCAGTGATAATAGGAAATATGACTCCTCATTTTACAGATGAGCTAATTGAGTCCTGGAGAAAATGAGAATGATGGCATCCATCTCAAAGGGTGGTTGGGAGGATCAAATAAGCTTATGCAGAGAGAGCACTAATGGTGCTTGGCATGTATTAAAGTAAGTGCTCAATGTACAGCCTTATTTATCGTTATGGCTGTTTTTGCTCCAAGAGAAACGCTGAGTACCTGGGCTGCCGAGAGGAAGCAGCGGTTCACAGGGAGAGCTGTGCTGGGCAGCAGGTTCCCAGGCCCCTCAGTTAACCCATCGTACCCATCCCTCCTCTCACAGGCCTGTCAATTCTGGAGGGAGATGAGTCTGGGGTGTGGCTGCGGCTCTGGGACCCTGACAGCTGCCACACCAGACAGCAAGCGCTACTCCGTCAAATGAAAGGCGGGGCCGGGGCAGCTGAGCGCCTACCCTTTGGCCTTCCTCCTTCCTCTCCCAAATCATCTCAGACTCCCCTATCCTTTTCACCCTAGCCGGGACCATTTCCTGCAGGTAGATTCCTGGGGTCACTGGCCCCCAGGTCTCTTCCACCAAGAGCGTAAGGGGGAGTCCACTGTCAGTCACAAGACTCTGCTCTCTGTCCAGCCTCTAGTGCTGTGGACTGTGGGAAGGTGCCTGACTTCTCCGAGGGCAGCTTTCTCACCTGTGGAAGGAAGGACCAGGGCTAGGTGGCCTGTAGGCAATTTCTAGCCCTCATGGAGGCTGGGTCTGGACAGCAGCAACTCCATACCCTCACCCTTTCTTCCCAGTCCCACCCTCCTTCCCGACATCTGAGAAGCTCCTTAGCTGAGACAGTCTGCTCCTGGCTCCCCTTCTCACCTTCCCCCATAGGTAGCCCCTCAGGCTGTCTTGAGCCCCCGAGGTCCCCCCATTATCTCCCCTCAGGGCAGGTGCAGAACCCTCCTCTGTGGTGTCCCCTCAGTCCACTCTGGAAGGGTGGCAAACACAGTTATTCTAAATAAAATGGTACTTCCTCCACTTGTCTACCAGACGCTGTGGGTTTGCCCAAGTGCATGGGCTTTTGTGTCGTGCAGGCCCAGAAGGGCTGAGTCTGGTCTCTGCCACCTACTATGGCAAGTCACTCCCTGATCCGAGGCTCATTTGTCCTCATCTGTAAAGCGAAGGTGACAGGTGATAACTCATAGGTGAGTGCTTAGTACATTCTTCGGTACATAGAAATGCCCAAACATTGGTAGTTGGCGAGGTTGTTTCGTGACCGGCCTCTCAGCCTCCAGCTCAGATGAAACAACATAGACTGTTTTGGGCCTCCACCCACCTCCTGGTTTCTCCAGCCTAGACCCTGGGTCCTTGGGGTGGAGTTGTAGCTAAGAGAGAAGGGAAGGGGCTGTTCATTCACAAACACTGATTAATGCTTATTCTAAAGCAGAGATCCTCAGCTTCAGCACAATTGCGGTCCTGGGCTGGATGATTCTTTGTTGTGGAGACTGCTTCAGGCATTATCGGATATTCTACAGCATCTCTGGCCTCTACCCCCTAGATGCCAGGAGCACCTCACTGCAAATTGTGATAAAAATGTCTCCAGAAATTGCCAAACGTTCCTTGATGGGGGCAAAATTTCTCCTCCCTGTACAGAACCACCATCCTAGAGGCTTGGGTCCCTGGGAAAGGGTGGGGAAGGAGATCAGTGAAAAGGGGACTGTCAGTCACCCCTGAGTCCAGATGGAGTTGCAGATGACAGCCTGTCTCTGCCTCAGTTTCTCCGTCCTGTAGGATGTATTGCCTGGGAGGCAGGCTGCCCAGTTCTGAGTAGCCAGTCTGGTCTGATTCCATGGAATCTCATTAATCTGCCGTTAATCACACAATAAGCAGTTGGCCTCCTCTCCTCTTCCCAACTATTCCAGCCCTGCCCAGGGCTCAGGGACAAGTCGTGCCAAGTAAGGAGAGGAACCCATGTGTCCAGTTCTCTAGTCCTCTCATGAGCCCAACTGGCCCAAGGGTCTGGCCTCCTGTCCTCAGGTCCTGGCCCTCTCTATAGCCTTTGCCTGCCCCACTTCCCTCAGAAAGGCCTCATCTGGCCCTGGCTTCCACTCTGTCCAGGCAGGTGAACATTTATTAATTGCCTACTCTGTGCCAGACACTGTCCCAGGCTCTGATGACACAGCAGGGATCCAAGGTGCTTACTTTCCATCGATGGAGACCCACAGTGGGCAGAGAGGGGTGATGATTTCTCTGTGTTAGAGACTCAGGGAGTCTGTCCCCCTCCTACTCCTGCCCCTGGCACTGTCAATGAGGAGACAAATGAGCCTCTGAGCTAATGCTTGCTTTAGGCAGGAACTGAGGAAGGGAAGGGGGAGCTCTGGAGCTCTGGGTGCTCCTGAAAATGAGATGTCTGCATTTTTGTATAGAAGTGAATGAGGTGGGAGGCAAGGGGTAGAGTGAAGGCAGAAGCCCATGTACGCTGAGTATCTCTTGGCCAAAAATCTTAGCCTCGGTCTCTCTGGGTGGCCTGACCTGTCTGTGTCCCTGGTGAGGGGTGTGACACCTGTCCCTGTGGGTCTGTGTGTCTCTGTCACTACCTCTGCACTCTCCACATCTTGTTGTATGACCTCTGAACATCACGAAGCACCTGTCTCTGCAGTGAGAGTCATTTGAGGGCTTTCTTTCGCCTTTGCCCTTTCACCTGATCCTTGCAGACAGTTCTGCCCAAGGTGGAAAGAGTGACCATGTGTGAATAAGGGGTGTGGAAGCGGGGTTGATGCGGGAGAGGCAGGAGGGTGCACATGAAGCTGGACACAAATCAGAACATGAACCCCACCCTGTCCTGCTCCCAACCAGAGCTCAATCCTTCTAGAACCCGGCCGTCTGCTCCCCACCTTCCCAGAGCTCTGCAGGCCACCCCCACTTCCCTCCACTGGGGCTGGCTCAGGCGCCTGCCCCTTTCTGGTTCCTATGCCCTGCCCACCCCTCGGCAGGCACCCAGGTACCTGGCTCCATGACGCAGCAGCTGTGGTCTCCTCTTATCAGGGCTCCCCTTTGGGTTGGGGCGGCTCCATTTGTTTAAGACTTAGTCCTGAGGAGCCCCAGCCCCCATGACGTCAAGATTGGCTCCATATAAGGTGAAGAGTCCACAGCCCATGGTCCCCAAGCAGCCACCCAGCTCCGACATGGCCCAGCCGGTCCACAGCTTCTGCTCTGCCTTTGGCCTCCATTGTTGCCTCCTCTTCCTTCTAGCTGCTTGGGAGGCAGGTAAGATGCCTACAGAGGGTTTGGATGATAGAAATGGCTTGCTTCTTAGTGTTCATAGGTTGGACAACAAACAGAAATGAGGGCACGGGGCTGCTGCAGACAGTTGCCTAGAGTGTTCTCAGCTCACGTTTGCTGGCTAAGGAGCATGTGGAAGACGAACTCCAGCCTGTGCTCTGCTCTTTAAAACATGTCTCACAGGGCTGCACCCACCCAGAAGGGGTTTCTTCAAGTTCGCATAAAGACACTGTAGAGGCTGGCAGCCTGGGTGGGCGAGGGTGGGCACCTGACATTCATTGAGCACCTGCTCCTGCTCAGTGCAAGGAATTCACAGCCGCTCATGGTGATTTCTTTTTTCTTTTTTTTGAGATGGACTCTCACTCTGTTGTCCAGGCTGGAGTGTAGTGGCGCAATCTCAGCTCCCTGTAGCCTCTGCGTCCTGGGTTCAAGTGATTCTCCATTCTCAGTTTCCCGAGTAACTGGGATTACAGGCACTCACCACCATACCTGGCTCCTTTTTTGTATTTTTAGTAGAGACAGAATTTCACCATGTTGTTCAGGCTGGTCTCAAACGCCTGGCCTCAAGTGATCCGCCTGCCTCGGCCTCCCAAAGTGCTGGATTACAGGTGTGAGTCACTGAGCCTATCGATTCATCTCATTTAATCTCAGCATCCCCTGAGGTGGCTAATAATAACCCATCTTATAGTTGAGAAGGGTGGACTCAAGTGATTTTGCCCGAGATCGCGAAGCTAGAGGGGGAGGTAAGCAGGGATTCCACTTCCACTGCCCCACCCCTGGGGGGATGGGCGGATGGTCTCTCCTGAGAGCCCTGTTTTGTGCAGACCTAGTTTCCAGTCCTGTCTCTGACCCATTTGCCTAGTCTGGCCCGCCACACCATCTATAAAATAGGTCGGACACTGCTGCCTGGCTGTATCGATATCTGATGCCTACAGAGCATTTACATGGCACCAGGCACTTCATCCACGTTTACTCATTTAATCCACACGGTGACTCAGAATGGTGTGCGCTGAAGGCTCTGGCCCTGTCTTACAGTTGGGAAACATCTCAGGGCTTTGATGAGAAAATGAGTATGGACAAGTTTCACGAACAAAACAAACCCTAAAGATAAGATGAAATTGTGAAATTAGTTCACGTTAGAAAGGGTCTGAACGCAGGGAGCAGAGATGCTGATCACGGGGGCAGTGTGGAGGGCCTGGGTGACTTGAAGGAGGGTCTCCACAAAGTAGACGTACAACAGTAGATTCAGAGACACCCTCTACCCACTGGACAGTCATCCAAGGATATAGCCATCCACAGTAACAGCTCTGAGGATCTGGAACCAGGGCTGGGACAGTCGTGAGTCTGGAAGTCTCCTCTGAGCAGTACTGGGGCAGGGCAGGCAGGCAGCACCTCCTCCCAGAGGGTGACAATAGAGGCAGTGACCCTTCCCTGAGTTCAGTCAGTTTCGGTCGGGGGTGTAGGCAGGGGCAGGTGGGTGGTGAACAGCGGGGGCTGAGGAGTCTTTGAGCTGCCTCTGAAAGGTCTCAGCAGTGTGTCCCGTCCATGCCCCGACTCGTTGTCTGTCTCCCTTACCTTAAGGGTCTGGAGACAGAGGCACCAGAGCTGCCCTCCGCCTCTCGGCCCCATCTCGCCCTCCCTTGCCGTCAGGTAGATCGTCCACCTCCTGCTCTCTCCTTCTATCTTGCAATTTAGGGAAGAGGAACCTGCAGGGGGCAGAAGCGAATCCACCGCAAACACAATCCCGCTGAGATTTGCTTCAGCGGGGACAATCTAAATTCCTGAGATTCCGAAGGGGCTATGTGGGCGTGGTCTTGGAGAGGAGATGGGCGTGGCTGGGCGGGATGGAGGAAAGGGAGGGGAGGACAGGAGGATCTGGCCTCTTTCATTCTGCAGATTCTAAAGAGCGAGTGGGGGACAGGTGGGGAGGGCTCGAGGCTGCGCCCGGGTTGTGTTGAGGTCGGTGGAACTGGAGTGTGAATCAGGGCTGGTGCATGGCTGTGCCGAGCAGAGAGAGAGAAGCCAGGGCAGGAAGAGAAGAGGGACAACTGGAATGGATGAAGCCCTTTAGTCCACCATTCTGGTTGGGGGGCCCTGACATTTGTCCACAGGACCAGTCAATACCCAGACAGATAACTAGATGCTGGGACCCCAGAGTCTGCATCATGCAGTCGCAGAACCACAGGTACAGTGTAGAGTAAATCATCCGCAGGCGGCACAGCGGCAGTCCAGATTAAGTCATCACAGGGAAGCACAGGTGCAGTCCAGATGAAACCATCTGAGGGAGCACAGGTGTGTCTAGATTAAATCATCTGAGGGAGCACAGGTGAGGCAGGAGATGGGAATTGGGGCTGGGGTCCTTGGAAGACTCTAATAAGAATATTTTTCTATAACAAACATTATTTGATTTAATTTTAATAACACAAATAATGTATGCTCATTGTAGAAACTGGAAAATAGAAAAATAAAATATCTCTGTATACTCCCTAGTCCCCAGGCAATCATTTGATTATATCTCCCTTTAGCTTTCCTCTTTTTTTGTAGACATAGGTCTCACTATGTTGCCCAGACAGGTCTCAGACTGGTGATCCTCCTGCCTCAGCATCCCAAAGTGCTGGAATTATAGGTGTGAGCTATTGTGCCCACCAGCTTTTCTTTTTCTATGTCTGTGTTTTAAGCCACTTATTGAACTCATCCTGTATAGATATTTTAACAAGCATTTACCCATATTATTGCAAATGGAGCATGCCATTGATGGGGGTGAGGATACCAGGAAACAAGAGAGGGGCACTTTGGGGAGAGTGTGCTCTGACAGAGACTCCAGGGCATGAATTGCTTAGCAAGATGTCCTCCCTCCCTCCCTCCCTCCTCCACCTTTCCTTCCTCCTTTCCTTCCTTCCTTCCTTTCTTTTTTTTTTTTTTTAAGACAGTCTCGCTCTCCCAAGAAGAGCATCTCTCACTGCAACCTCCACCTCCTGGGTTGAAGCAATTCTCCTGCCTCAGCCTATAGAGTAGCTGGGATTATAGGCTCCCATCACCACACTGGGCTAATTTTTGTATTTTTAGTAGGGAGAGGGTTTCCTCATGTTGGCTAGGCTGGTCTTGAAGTCCTAACCTCAGGTGATCTGGCCACCTCCGCCTCCCAAAGTGCTGGGATTACAGGCGTGAGCCACCGTGCCCAGCCAATGCCTCCCATTCAAATGAGTGATGGTGAGGATCTTTGGCATTGTGCATCGTTTTGATGTTGTGGGATTTGTTTTTATTCTTTTATCTCAGCTGAGCATCCACAAAGCGTCTGGTGCTAAAGTTGGATTTTCTTCTCTGCACCCCCTGCCTATACTTCAGCGACCAAAACAGTTCTTTTCAGGCTATGATGGTTCTATGATGGAATGAGTATCTCCTGGTGAAAACTTCCTAGGGAAATAAGTCACTACCAAAGGTAGATTGCCTGGGGAAGAGATGCTCCTCTTGTCTTGAGGATTTACACTGACTTGCCTTATGGCTGGGTCAGGACCAAGGAATCCCTTGAGCTTTACTTCAGCTTTTACAATCTATGGTTCCACACCTGTTTGATACATATCTAAAATTCTAAAATCTAGTTATCTGAGTCTAGTTATTGACTGTGATCCTGTGGTTTAATGACAACTGGTATCCAGGAATTGGTGAGCCAGAGGCCTTCTTTCAATATCTTTTGATTTTGGAGCTCAATTACTTAACTGAAGAAGTCGCCCCTTGGTCTCCCAGCCTGTGGAGGTCACAGATACATTTGGTTTTTACTTAATGTGCATGATTAAATGTTAATGGCAAGGCTTCTAAGGAGTTTTCATCAGTTTTATTCTTTCATTCACTATTCAATAAATATTTACAAGGTGCCTCCTATGGACCAGACGCTGTTTTAGGCTGGAGACAGTGATGAACAAAACAAATAAAAATCCCTGGCAGCCCAGGCCAGGCGCAGTGGCTCATGCCTACAATCCTAATACTTTAGGAAGCAGAGGTGAGAGGATCACTGACGACCAGAGTTTGAGGTCAGTCTGGCCAATATTGTGAGACCTGTGTCTAACAAAACTTGATAAAACATAGCACTCATCACTTTCTGATGTGTGATAAATTTAGTTGGGATTATTTCAGAGACTACAATGTGGATTCAACAAACACTTAAAGAGCTTCTGTGCTCCAGAGTCTTCCAGCACCACACTTCCTTTAATCCGCATATTAAGCTGGTGCAGTCAGCATCATGGTTATTTACAGTTGAGGGCATGGAGCTTCTGTGCATTTAAATGACCTCAGCAAGGATGCAAAACTGCTGAGGGACCCAGCCTGGATGCCAAACCTGTCCTCTGATCCTTTAAGTCCAGTGGAAATTGCCCTTTTCAATGCTTCCAGCTCATTTATTCACTCAATGGCTAGTCATTTGTCCCTTATCATGTTTAAAAGCATCTGGGACACAGTGAAAAGTCTAACTTCACCAATTACTTAAGCTCTTTGCATCTCCTTTCCCCACCTGTAAACATAAGATCATAATCCTTGCTTCACAGGTTCATAATTATGTGATTAAATAAACGAACAGCACCTTTAAGGGAGTCCACACATGTCAGTGTCCTTCCTTCTTCAAAAGACTGGGCTGACCCATAGGCTGTGCACTGTGGTCTCAACCAGCAATGATCTGGGCCCAGGTGCCCAGGACATGTGTTCAGATTCTGTCTCAACAACTTCTTACTTGCTGGTTGTCCTTGAGAAGATTACTCAACCACTCTGAACCTTGTTTCTTCATCTATAAAGTTGGGAGACTAGGAAATAGTTCTCAACCTCAACAGGTTCTTATGAAAAGTAAATAAGTTAATGTATGCCCTCACTTGTAGACACTGGCTGTCTCATAGAAGAGCTCCAGAAAGACTGACCATTGCTATTGTTGTGGGACTATGTACAGGTCACTTTTCCTCCATGAAGTGTAAATTTCTCAGATGTAAAATAGGAGAAGTTGACCGCTTCTAAAGAGCCTGGTGGAGCATTGGGAGATTAATTACCATAGAATAGAATCCAGAAAGAGAATGTCTGTGAGGCCACCAGCCATGTGCTGTGGCTAGGTGTCCAGTAAACAATAGCAATACTGGTATTGCTGCCAAGGAAATCAGGGAATGAGATTGGCACAGTGGAGCGAAGGCCTGATCATTCAGTCCCTTCTCTCCTATCACTCTCAATTCCTTTCAGAGACTTGGGCTTCTCTATTACCCTCACACCTTTCTTGTCCTGCCCGTATTTCAAGGACTGAGCTCCACAAGCCCTGATTCTGCCCATCAGCAGGCAGGTGGACTGTGGTTTCTTGTGATAGGGAATAGGTCCAGGTTTTGGTTGCTGCCTTGAGCTAACAGAGTTATGTAACGACACTGTCTCTTTCACTCTTTGGCGATCTCTTGGCCTTCACTCTTTTGGCTAGGTTTCAGAGATATCTCGTTTGTCCCCATCAGGTTGTTTTTCCATGGAATGAAGGCCTGTATCTGTCCAATGATAGGGGTGTTTTCTCTCACACCCTGTCCTTAAACATCAGTCCCTCCCACAATCTAGTTGCCTCATTTACTCCTGTCAAGATCCCTAAGCAGAGATCTTTTCCTTTCAAGATGGCCCTTTTATCTATCCTCAGATGGCTTTAAAAGTGTGAAGAGGGGGACCCAGTGGGATGACCATAGGGTTGGGTCATCTCATCCATTCTCCTCATCCAACTTTATCACTGAAATGAGTTTCCCATCTCCTTCCTCTACCCATTCTCCATTCTTCTTATATATCTCTCACTCACAACCTGTGTCTACCTCCCCTATGGGAAGTTCTGCCAGAGGTCTTACCTCAGTTTCTCAAACTGTTACATTTGGGACATGGTGTCAGAGTGTTATGGAAAGGTGGAGAGTCTAATGTTTATTCTCAGTCTTCCCAGCTCTGTCATGGAAAGGAGATTCCAATCCGTAAGTATACAGACCCTAAAGGGGCACCTGCACAGTAAGAAGCTGGTCCACACATGCTCTCAAACCTTACATTGGATCGACATGGCGGGGTGTGGAGCTCGGCAGGCATGCAAACAACTGTAATGTGAAGTTGAACATCACAGGACAGAATGATGAATAAACACCTTTTTAAGCACTGAAATGAAGCTGGGTTTTGTCTGCTTAGAGGGATCAGAAAACATGCCCTAAAGCCAAAAGGCCCTGAGATGGAGAGTTGGGGAGATGCGGATGATGTGGCATGCTTGTTGAAGGCACAGCCTGAGCCCAGAAGCTGGAGGTGAGAATGGGGAATAGATATCATAGTATTCAGAGGAGACTGGCTAGGGAGTCTTATCGGGGGGCAAACCGAAGGAGGTAGGCAGGGAGTTGGAGAAGAACATGGGAGAAGTTTCTTATTTGCCTCTCTCCCTCCACAGGTGCTACTACACTCCAAGAATATCAGAAAACTGGTGAACTCTCAACATCTGCTCATGTATTTCCCCTCACTCCAGGCCTTGTTTATAGTATCCCCTTTGATCACATTGTTCTGCATTCAGGACAAAGACCTCCAGACCTCCCTAAATCCACAGAAGTCGGTGAACGAAAACGCCACTGCAACACCACACGCCATTCTAAGCCCACTGACAAGCATATAGACAACTCCAAAACTACAGACCACAAAAGCTCTGCAGATAATCAAGACGCTCCTCCTACTTCTGAAGAAAACTCCGGCAGTCAAGGGAAAGACCCAGTGATCTGGAACCAACGCTCTGTTGATTCTACTGACTCCACTACCACACATAAAGAATCATCTGAAAAAAAATATATAACCCCAGCACCCAAGAGAAAAACAACTTGTCGTAAGTCCTCAACAGGCAAATCAACAGTAACAACAAAATCAGATAACTCTGGAAGACCCACTGCCTCATATAAGACTACAACTTCCTTCCACAATTCAGACGATTCACAGAACAACCAAAAAAGCATGTCTTCTGAGAAAATCACAACAGGAACCCCAGAAGAGTCAGAAAAAAATGAAGATTACAGAACAACAGTTGCCTCGGACAAGATCCTGACAAAAACTACAAAATACATACAAGAGACTATATCAACCAGTGAGAAGATCACACGATCTCTAGCGGACCCTACAGAACATGAAGAAAGGACAGCCAATGAGAACACCACACCTTCCTCAGCAGAACCTACTGAACATGGAGAAAGGACCCCACTAGGCAATAAGAACACCACGCCATCCCAAACAGAGCATACAGAACATGGAGAAAGGACCCCACTGGCCAATGAGAATACCACACCATCCCCAGCAGAGCCTACAGAACATGAAAAAAGAACACTGTCAGCCAATGAGAATACCACACCATCCCCAGCAGAGCATAAAGAACACAAAGAAAAGACCCCATTTGCCAGTGAGAAGATCACACTATCCCCAGCAGAGCCTACAGAACATGGAGAAAGGACAGCCAAAGAAAACATTACACCATCCCCAGAAGACCCTACAGAACATAAAGAAAGGACTCCATTTGTCAATAAGAACACCACACCATCCCTAGCAAAGCCTACAGAACATGGAGAAAGGATACCATCAGCCAATGAGAACACCACACCATCCCCAGCAGAGCCTGAAGAACATGGAGAAAGGACACCATTGGCCAATGAGAACACCACACCATCCCCAGCAGAGCATACAAAATATGAAGAAAGCACACCATCAGCCAATAAGAACACCATACCATCCACAGCAGAACATAAAGAACATGGAGAAAGGACACCGTCAGCCAATGAGAACACCACACCATTCCAAGCAGAGCCTACGGAACATGGAGAAAGGACACCGTCACCCATTGAGAACACCACACCATTCCAAGCAGAGCCTACGGAACATGGAGAAAGGACACCATCGGCCAATAAGAACACCACATCATCTGCAGCAGAGCATAAAGAACATGGAGAAAGGACACTGTCAGGCAATGCGAACACCACACCATCCCCAGCAGAGCACACAGAAGGAGAAAGGACACCGTCAGTCAATGAGAACACCACACCATCCCCAGCAGAGCCTACAGAACATGGAGAAAGGACACCATCAGGCAATGAGAACACCACACCATCGCCAGCAGAGCATACAGAACACGGAGAAAGGACACTGTCAGTCAGTGAGAACACCACACCATCCCCAGCAGAGCATACAGAACGTGGAGGAAAGACACCGTCAGGCAATGAGAACACCAAACCATCCCCAGCAGAGCATACAGAACGTGGAGGAAAGACACCATCAGGCAATGAGAACACCAAACCATCCCCAGCAGAGCCTATGGAACATGGAGAAAGGACACCGTCGGCCAATGAGAACACCACACCATCCCCAGCAGAGCCTACAGAACATGGAGAAAGGACACCGTCAGCCAATGAGAACACCACACCATCCCCAGCAGAGTCTACAGAACATGAAGAAAGGACACCGTCAGCCAATGAGAAAACCACACCATCCCCAGCAGAGCCTAAGGAACATGGAGAAAGGACACTGTCACCCACTGAGAACACCACACCATCCCCAGCAGAGCCTACGGAACTCAGAGAAAGGGCAACGTTGGCCAATGAGAACACCACACCATCCCCCCCAGAGCCTATAGAACATGAAGAAAGGACACCGTCAGCCATTGAGAACACCACACCATTCCCAGCAGAGCCTACAAAACATGGAGAAAGGACACTGTTGGCCAATGAGAACACCACACCATTCCCAGCAGAGACACTGTCACCCATTGAGAACACCACACCATTTTCAGCAGAGCCTATGGAACACAGAGAAAGGACACCATCAGCCACTGAGAACACCACACCATTCCCAGCAGAGCCTATGAAACATGGAGAAAGGACACCATCGGCCAATGAGAACACCATACCATCCCCAGCACAGCCTACAGAACATGGAGAAAGGACACCATTGGCCAATGAGAACACCACACCATCCCCAGCAGAGCCTACAGAACATGGAGAAAGGACACCGTCAGCCAATGAGAACACCACACCATTCCCAGCAGAGCCTATGAAACATGGAGAAAGGACACCGTCGCCCATTGAGAACACCACACCATTCCAAGCAGAGCCTACAGAACATGGAGAAAGGACACCGTTGGCCAATGAGAACACCACACCATCCCCAGCAGAGCCTACAGAACATGGAGAAAGGACACTGTCGGCCAATGAGAACACCACACCATCCCCAGCAGAGCCTACAGAACATGGACAAAGGACACCGTGGGCCAATGAGAACACCACACCATCCCCAGAAAAGCCTACAGAACGTGGAGAAAGGACCACATCACCCAGTGACAAGATCACATCATCTGCAGCAGAGTCTACAGAACATAGAGAAAGGACTACATCAGCCAATGTGATCACACCAGCCCCAGCAGAGCATATAGAACATGGAGAAAAGACCACATTGGCCAATGAGGTGACATACGTCACAATAAAGTCCACAGAACACTCAGAAAAGACCACATCAACCACAGAGGAAACAACAAGAGCCTCAGAAAAGCCTACACTATACCCAAAGAAGACCATATCCACCAAAGGGAAAAACATAGCAGTCTCAGAAAAGCATACAGAAAACCTAGGGAACACCACACTGGGCACTGAGAACACAAAAACCCCAGTAAAGTCCACAGAAAACCCGGGAAAAACAGCAGCAGTCACAAAGACCATAAGACCTTCAGTCAAGGTCACAGGAGACAAATCTATCACTACTACCTCTTCTCATCTAAATAAAACTGAGGTTACTCATCAGGTGCCCATTGGTTCTTTTACACTCATCACATCTAGAATGAAGCTGAGTTCTATCATGTCAGAAGCCCCAGGCAACGAGAGCTATCCATACCATAATAAAGATGGCTCACAGAAAGGTATCCACGCTGGACAGATGGGGGAGAATAATTCATTCCCTGCATGGGCCATAGTTATTGTGGTCCTGGTGGCTGTGATTCTCCTCCTGGTGTTCCTTGGCCTGATCTTCTTGGTAAGGAACAGGTGAACCCCACGGAAATGAATCTATAGGAGAGGGAATTGAGACATTAGTGGTCAGAGTTACAGGGAATAATGAGTCTAGGGAAAGAGACATAGCAGGAGAGGGGGGAACAGTAATAGAGGGAGAGTTTTGGTGAAAAATAAGGGGAAAGACAATAAATACACATGAGATAAAAAGCTGGAATTGGGGAGAAGGCTGTGACTGAGAATGAAAGTGTGTGAAAGTGTGTGGGGTGGAGAGTCTGGGTATGAGAATAGGAGGCATAAGGACAAGAAGAATATGGTAGAGAGGGGAACTGAAGATGGAGCTGGGACTCATTGTATTGGATCTGCAGCTGGAATAAACATCAAGGTTTGGATGGAATCTTGAGAGCAGAATCAAAGACCTGAGGTGAGTGTTGAGAAAAACAAATCGCAGATGGTTTTTATTCCTCCTTTCTCATCCCAATCACAGGTCTCCTATATGATGCGGACACGCCGCACACTAACCCAGGACACCTGGGACAATGATGCAGCGGATGAGGGTGGCCCCAATTCCTACCCAGTCTACTTGATGGAGCAGCAGACACTTGGCATGGGCCAGATCCCTTCCCCACGATGATCCTGGAGTAGGCACCGAGCCCCGGCTCTTCCATGCTCTGCCCTCTTTCCTGGATGAGGAACTGGACTCACAATTTCTATTTCCTGGACTCTGGGAAGGGCAGAGAACACCGATGGTTAACAGCAATAACCCTTCCTCTGTTCTTAATTGAAACTGGTTGGGGAATGAGGTGATAAGTAAGGAGGGTGTAAGTTTAGGGGATAGAGACGAAAGAATGAACAATACAAGTAGATGTTCTCTGTAGAAGGCGATGGTCTGAGAATGAAAAGGTGTTTGATGGACATGTTGGGTGGGGACCAATACAGAACACTGAGTCCTAAAGGAAGGACAGGAGCCTTAGAAGGCAATGCCCCAGATTGACTTGTGAGTGGGGATTATGGGGAAAGGGAGAAACTGAGGGCAGAGTCTCTGGGTTTCAGAACAGAATTATGTTATTTCCATTCATTATTATTTAAGAGTTTGTGCGTTAACAGGCTCACCTCTGAGTTCTCAGGACCCTTGCCCCGCTTTCTTTTTTAATGAAAAAAAAAAAAAAAAAAAAAAAAAAAAGGATCCAAGAAGAAAAGAGAATTTATTTCCTTCTCCACTCTCTCCATTCCGTGGAGAAAGAAAAAGTCCAGAGAAATTATAAATATCTCTCATCCACATGGTTGTTCCCTCTTCCTCCCAAATCCCTTAGTTTTCCTTAACGTCTATAGTGGACACCCTGTTGGTTTGGCTTGCTGGGTTGTGGGTGGACACAAAAGGAGGGGATCTTGGACCAGCAGGGTCACTCACTGATCTCCATCCCAGACCTTCCCTGATGGTGTCTCAGCATTTATTTTCCTGTGTCTTCCACCAAAAGCCAGTTGTGGATTTATCTCATAAAAGTCACCCATCTTCTCTACCATCTCCATCCTCTCTCCTCACACCTTTACCCCTGATTCCAATTTTTCTCCTTGTAGGCATTTTATCTGTGTGTGTTTTCTGGATTTCTCTCCCTCTTCTTATGGACATTTCACCTTATTACTGATTGGGCAGAGAGAGAAAAGGAGAATGGACATATGATGATAGTTTCCTTCTCTCTATTGACCTTTTTTAATAATAGAGTATGACATGTTTATAAAGGGCATCATAGTTATTAGACTATCCATTGGGAGAAAGTCCTGACTGGTGTTCCTGGTTCTGTCTGTGACCTTACAGGAGAGGAGGAGCCAGAGGAGCTGGAGCGCAGGACTGGCAATCTATGGAGGGTCAAGAAAGGGGAGGCTGAACCTCTATTGCTCCAAAAATGGCTCCTTTCTGGGTTTAGATAAGAGCCAGCCTCAATCCATGCTGGATTTCTTTGCATGGTGACAAAATGAGTAGAAAAATCTGTCAATTAATAAGCAAGTATTTTAAAGCACCTATTATGTACTCTGGAGGATATAAAGAAGTATACGACATAGTTTTCACCCGAGACACAAAGACAAGAAAATTAAAATTAAATAATTCAACAAGAGTTGTCACAAGGTAATGCTATACAGAATAAAACAACACCCTAATTCATTAAGCCCAAATCCGTGAGCATCTACTATTTCCCCTATTTATGTTAGGGCACCAGCCCTGCTCCAAAACCATTCTGTGCCCACGTCAGTCCCAAGAGAAACCTCCCATTACCCATGCAGCTTTAGCTCTCTTACCAGAGGAGGATGGCATCGTCACTATCAGGACAGGCACCCCAGTTTGCTGCCGGCCTTCTAAACGTTAACTCCACCTAGACTCAAACAGCAGGGCCACAGGTCACTCACTCTCTGCTCCTCTGGGCATCCCCATTTGCTGAAAGCTGGAAATTTATCATGGGCAGTAATCCCAACCCTGACACGGATGTCACTGAACTATCTGGCCCTGGCTGGGCTAGGAAGACCCTTACTACTGAATCTCCCACCAGAGACCGCTCTGCTAAGGGCAAGATTGAAGCTTGACTCTCAGAGAGGAGGCATGCCAGGTGCCAGAGGGACTCCAGACTTAGGTCCCTGGAGAAAGGAGGCAGAGGGACACCTGGGTTCTGGAGAGCCCTGGAGAAAAGGAGGAAGATACCTGGATTTTAGTTGTCTGAGCAGATGGTGACTCAGCCTGGGGCATCTGCCGGGACAGGAGTGTCTCTCTGCCCTGGGAGGGATGCAGAGACCCCTAAACTCAGCCCGGACCCCAATTAAAAAACAAAGCGCAATAAAAACACCTCTGGCCCTGGAGTTCTAAAGATGAAAGCGGACAGACCCCTCCCCTATCAAGACACCAAAATGCAGCACTGAGGCCAAAGGCTGTGTGTAGAGAGGCATGGGGAGGGGGAATCCGGAGGTTCTTCGCCTGGCAAACACGGACTCTGAGCCTTGGGGCGCGGCAGGTGTCTCCTTCCCACTTCTGGCGTCTCTATTCCCCGCTAATTATCACTTTGAAATCTAGGCGGAAATCCTTTAACAAGCTCCGGGGCTGGGCCCTCATTAGGGATAATTACTTAATCAGTAGGACCAGAGGGAATGCCCTACCTCGGCCCCCGGGGAGGACAACTCCGGGCGGCCGGGGGCGGGGCGAGTGCCCTGAGTGAGGGCATGGAGGCGGCCGGGGCGCGGGAAGCTGCTGTCGGCGCGAAGAGGGGAAGGGGCGGGGGTGGGGGGGTGGGTGGCCTCCATTTCCCCAAGTCTGCGACCCTCCTCGGTCCACGAGGTTCCGCTTTGCGGGCGGCTTCCGATCTCTCTCGCTGACAGCGCAGCTTAGTGGGTCGAGGCCGCCGCTCCCGCAGCGCCCCAGCCGGGCTGCGCCGAATCCCCTCCTCCCGGCCCACAGCTCCCGGGGGGAACCGGACTGACCGGCCTGGGCGTCACTCCCACCCTCGTGCCATTGGCTATAAAACTGACACGTGTTTGTGCTGTGCTTTCAATTACATCGCACCTGTGATCCTCCCATCACCTTGCGAGTTCTTACAAGGCCTGTTTACAGATGAGAAAATAGAGGCTCAGAGAAGCGCCCTGTTGAAACCCACGCGGCTCCTATGAAGCAGAAGGCTTGCTTAATTTTCTCCAAGCCTCAAATTCACTTTGTTCCTCAGTGGAGCCAGGTTCCCTGTTACCGAGGCAGCCCCACCTGAATGGGTGGGATGTTATAGGGACCACCTAAGGAACAGGGTGTAATTGAGATTTGTGCGAGGGTGTCCAGCCCCTTCTTCCAGAGTCCAGACCTCTCTTTCCAGCCCCTTGAACGTCCAGAGTCTTCTTCTGCCCTCACTGCCAGTATCTCAGGTCAGAGTCCTTCCTGCCAGCCTCTGTCCCCAGAGACACATTAACTGGCCTCATAGTCACAGGCTCTGCATCTTCCCCTCATGACTCAAGAAAAAGGAATATCCGTACCTATTATTTCACTTGTTTAAAACATGATTTATCTAGAAATTGGCTCATAAGTTTTTAAATCAACTGTATGAAAATTTGACAGTGCATTTACTGTTAACTCCTGCTTATGTTTTAGGAAAGCTCTTATGGAAAGAAAAAATGCTTCCCAGGTAGCTGACACAGATAGGTTATTTGGGGAATGGATAACTAAAAATTAAAGTCCTTTTTTTTTTTTTTTTTTTTGCGACAGGGTCTTGTTCTGTTGCCCAGGCAGGAGTGTATAGTGGTGCTATCTTGGCTTCCTGTAACATTTGTCTCCCAGGTTGAGGCAATTCTGCCTCAGCCTCCTGAGTAGCTGGGATTACAGCCATGTACCACCATGCCCGGATAATTTGTTGTATTTTTAGTAGAGATGGGGTTTCACCATGTTGGCCAGGCTGGTCTTGAACTCCTGAGCTCAGGTGCTCCACCCACCTTGGCTTCCCAAAGTGCTGGGATTAGAGGCATGAGCCACCTTCATGCCCAGGCTTAGCGTCTTTATTAGCATTCAAAGCCATGGATGCAAAGAAGTATGGGGTACTTTTTGCTTTTTCGTTTTTTTTTTTTTTTTTTTTTGAGAGAAAAAGAAGGGGAAAAAAAGAAAAAGAGGGAAAAAGGAATATTACTTCATTCCTAAAATGGGTTTCAATAATGGCCGATCAATATTTTGAGTGTTTAAAGTGGTTAATGCATATTTTATGTGTTTAAAATGGAGACCTCTATTGTGTTTATTTGTTCTGGCTCTGAGTTCAAGTCCTGGATATCGTTATCAATTTGTTGTCTCGTTGAATCTAAATCTCATTATGTGTCTTATGTATCTGGGTGTTAAGATCTCTTATTGTTACATTAATCCTTTTACCCTTGCATCCTTGTAGCTTTGAAATCTATTTTATTAAGTGTGAGAATTGCAACTCCTGCTTTTTATTTATTTATTTTTGCTCTCCATTTGGTTGTTGAGTTTTTTTCCATCCCCTTGTTTTGAGTCTTTGTATATCTTTAGATATATCGTTAGATTTTGTGGATCATGTATATTTTGTGTGTTTAAAATGGAGAGCTCTATTGAGTTCATTTGTTCTGGATCTTAGTTCCAGTCCCGGATATTGTTATCAATTTTCTGTCTCGTTGAATCTAAATCTCATTATGGGTCTTATGTATCTGAGTGTTAAGATCTCTTATTATTACATTAATCCTTTTATCCTTGTATCCTTGTAGCTTTGAAATCTATTTTGTCAAATGTGAAAATTGCAACTCCTGCTTTTTATTTATTTTTGCTCTCCATTTGGTTGGTACGTTTTTTTTTCCAACCCTTTATTTTGAGTCTATGTATATCTTTGGATATACCGTTAGATTTTGTCTGTCTCTTTTGATTGGGAGATTTGGTTGATTTAAATTTAGGGTTGCTGCCGTTTGATATTAACTGGCTATTTTGTCCTTTCGTTGATATAAATTCTTCTTTATGTTAATGCTCTTTACTTTTTGGTGTATTTTTAGAAAGGGTCATACTGGTTGTTCTTTTCTGTGTATAGTGCTTCTTTTAGAAGTTCTTGTAAAGCAGGCCTGGTGGTAATAAAGTCTCTGAGTACTTGCTTGTTCCTAAAAGATTTTATTTTTCCTTCAAATGTAAAGCTTAAATTGGCAGGATATGAAATTCTGGGCTGAAAGTTCTGTTGATTAAGTATATTGAATATTGGCCCCCACTCTCTTCTAGCTTGTAGGGTTTCCGTTGAGAGATCTGCTGTAAGCCTAATAGGCTTACCTTTATGGGTAACTTGATCTTTCTCTCTGGCTGCCCTTAATATTTTCTCCTTCGTTTCGATCTTGGTGAATCTAACGATTATGTGCCTTGGGGTTGGTCTTCTTGAGGAATATCTTTGTGGTGTTCTCTGTATTGCCTGGGGTTGAATAGTGTCCTGCTTTGTTAAATTAGGAAAATTTTCCTGGATAATGTCCTGGAGAGTATTTTCCAGCTTGAATTCATTCTCTCCGTCACATTCAGGTACACCAATCAAGCGTATATTAGGTCTTTTCACATAGTCCCATATTGCTTGGAGATTTTGCTCATTCCTTTTTATTCTTTTTTCTCTATTCTTATCTTGTCGTTTTGTTTCATTAAGTTGATCTTCAACCTCTGATACCCTTTCTTCTGCTTGATCCATTCTGCTGTTTAAGCTTGTACATATTTCACTAAGTTCTCGTGTTGTATTTTTCAACTCCTAAGTTCATTTATATTCCTCTCTATATTGTCTATTCTTTTCAACATTTCATCTAACCTTTTTTCCAAGTTCTTAGTTTCTTTACATTGGGTTAGAACTAGTTCCTTTAACTCCCAGAAGTTTCTTATCATCCACCTTTTAAAGCCTACTTCAGATAATGGAACACAGTCCTTTTCCATCAGGGCTTGTTCCGTTACTGATGAATCCTTTTCCATCAGGGCTTGTTCAGTTGCTAATGAGTCCTTTTCCATCAGGGCTTGTTCCATTGCTGATGGGTTCTGATTTTGAGTATACTCGGCCTTCTTAGGCTGTTTTTTTCCCTTCATTGTAGATGAACCGCCTTTCTAATTAGTTTTCTGAGTCGACGTCAGACTTATTGATTCCCAGTGCTGGGATCCGAGCAACCCACTGTGGCAGCCTAAATAGCAGCAGTAAGACTGATGGTGCTCTTCTGCCCGGGAATCTCTGGTCTGGCTTCCCTCTTGAGTCCGCAACAAGCGGCTCTGAGTTCCCGGAGCTCCAAACTCCGGTCAGTAGGGGAAGCAGTCCCGTTGGCTCTGCATGAAGAGCTACTGCGCCGAGACGCCGGCAAAACCGCTGCGGCGGCCACAAGAGTCGTGCTGGCGACCCGTGGGGCTCCTCCACTGGGAATCGGCTGATCGGTGAGTGACGAAAATTCATCTAAAAGTGTGGCGTCGTCTTGTTCTCTGGGCTTTCACTAGGAGCTACAATCCTGAGCTGTTAGTGGTCGGCCATCTTGGATCGATCTCCAGTATGGGGTACTTTTAAACAAGCTCCAAGTCCAAGAAATGCCATGTCAGAATATGACCTTTTCTTTTTGCATAGAAAAGTACTTGCACAGTCCCAAATGTTTGTCTTCCTGAGCAGCAGCCTCGAAGGTGATGCTACCAGGTTTGGCCAGTGTAGCTGCTGCTTTTCCCTTCTTTCTCCTCTTTCTTCTAATTCTTCCTTTTCTTTCTCCCTCCTCTGCTTTCTCCTCTTCCTTCTTCTTATTTTTTAAACCATGATAAAACACACATACCATAAAATACACCATTTTAATCACTTATAAGAGTAAAGTTTAGTATCATTAAGTACATTCATGTGGTTGTGCAACCATTCCTGGCGATTTCTTCTTGATTCTCTGTCCTGGAACCACTAAACTCAGGCTGGGTTTAGCATAATCGTTGCCCATGTACTTGAAAAGTGGAGAGTCGCTGACCTCTGATGCGCAGCTTGGTCTTGCTGGGCAAATCCTTCTGGAAGCTGTTCTAATGCAGCTCAGTGCCACTTCCACACACTCCTGCTATGCTGCAGCTCTCCTGACACAGCCTTCCTAGCATCACACTCATTGCTACAGAGAGGAACTAATACTTGAGCAACTATTTCTCTTTTTTTTTTTTTGAGATGGAGTTTTGCTCTTGTTGCCCAGGCTGGAGTTCCATGGTGCGATCTCGACTCACTGCAACCTCTGCCTCTTGGGTTCAAGCGATTCTCCTGCCTCAGCCTCCTAAGTATCTGGGATTATAGGAACATGCCACCACATCCAGCTACTTTTGTATTTTTAGTAGAGCCAGGGTTTCTCCATGTTGGTTAGGCTGGTCTTGAACTTCAAACCTCAGGTGATCCGCCTGCCTCAGCCTCCCAAAGTGCTGGGATTACAGGCATGAGCCACCTTGCCAGGAGCTGGATGAGGTTTTCAAATAACACTTTCCCCAAACCTCCATGATAACTGCAGAGCCTGTGCCCCACACAGGCACCAAAACACCTACTGATGCCACCATAGCATTTGCGTCCACCACTGTCCCCAAGAACACCACACCCTCCATGATAACATCTACGCCTTCCACATTTCCCAGCACAGCCTCTAAATCCTCTGCAGCCTCTTCCACCGCCTCCGAGGCCACCATGACCTCAACAACAACATCTCTGTCCACCACAGTCTTCACCGCAGCCTCTAAAATCACCACGGACTCTGAGACCCTCTGGCCTCCACCACAGACTCTGAGACCACTGTGGTCTCCACAAAAGCCTCTGGGACAGCTGTAGAGTCTGTGCCATCTCCAGCCACTCCAGTACCTGCTGAGACCACCATAGCATCTGTGCCCACCACAACCTCTCCCACAGCCTCTGAGAACACCAGACACTACACAGTAACACCTATGCCCACCGCAGTCTTCACCACAGCCTCTGAAAGCAGCACAGGCTCTGAGACCAGCA